CTTATGAGAATTATACCTATAACTATCATTTTATTCAACACTGATGATGAATCAACAAATTAAACTCTTAAAATTAAGAACTTTTGAACTTCTAGGTACACACAAGAAGCTGAAGAGAATATCAGAATGGGAGAAAATATTTATAAATCACACATCTGATAATAGATTCATTTCAAGAATATATATATAAAAAGAATATCTCAACTGTATACAAGAGTGAAAAAACAATTCAATTTTACACAATGGTGAAAGACTGGAATTGTCACTACTGCAAAGATGACATACAAATGGCAATAAGTACATGAGGAGATGCTCAACATCATTAGTCATTAGCAAAATCCAAAATAAAACCATGATGAGTACAAGTTTACATTACTAGGATAGCTATGGTAAGAAAGAGGAAAATTATTATTTCTATCTCTTGCAAATAATAAGTAATAATATCCTGACTTTTTTGTTTCCTTGTCCTTACCCCAGGACTGAAGTAATGAGGATGAGATAAAGTCTTATAAATAATTTATTTTACACTTTGTAAGGAGTCCCTGTTCCCTTTGGAGATAATTTTCTTTAAAAGTAAGGAGAAGGACTGTGCCTTCACATTTTGGAATGTAAATAAATATTTGGTGGGGATGGGTGAGCAAAAAAAACAGTGAATCCAGCTTTACAATCCTGGAGATGTCTCCAAGATTCTGATTTCATCCCTGACTTGAAATGTAAACACATGCTGCTAGAGGTAAACTCTTTGGTGTTCCCAATATCTATTCAGTCATCTATTAAGTTCTAAAGGTTGCAGTTTTAGTCTGGATCCAAAGTTTCTGTAAAATTTACTCAGAAAGTGCTAACTTCAAAAACATTAAAATATTTTCCCCACAAACCCACATATGTAATGCAATACAAAATGAAGAAGAAATTTAGTTAAGCCAAAATATTAGATTGTCAAATAATAACTCAGAGAAAAATCAGAGAATTTATATAGTATCAACATTTATGAGAATCCCAAGAATAGAAGTAATCAAACAACACAGCTAAACAGGCAGAGATTCAGGACAATCAGAAGAGCTCTACAGGACCTTCTGTACCACATTGTCTATATTCTTGCTAATATTAGCCCATACATTCAATTAGAATTACAGCACCATTCTCCATTTCGAACTTCACATTCACAGTGTCGTGCATAGTGCCCAGAGATTATCATTATCAATAAATTCTAGATCTCATCTTGTTTGAGGACATAACTATATACCAAATATCACAGTATAGGTTTTAACAGTTATTGGTGTCTAGATGCCATTGTGCCAACAAGCTCCCTTCAAGACAATAAATGCTCTTCCTTTGGTCTTGTCCAATTTTGATCAGTGTTTCATGAGGACAAATTATCTTTTTAACAATAATACCTGAACCATTCATGAACAACTATTAAGGCCACACTGTCCAGTAATGTCCAACCATAATTTAGGCTAACTATAGTATTTCCGTAAGTGGCTATCCTTGTTTGGTTCTGGCCAGACTCCCAGCCATCATTATTTAATAATTTCCCTAGTGATTAGAATATTCAATAGTCTTCTCTGGGTAAGGATAATATCCCTCTTCTTGAACTGTTGTCTGATATGATGTCCCATTTAAATATTCTATTAGTGTAGTCATTTAAAGCTTTCTTGTCCCTCTAGGGTCATCTCCAAATGTGGCCAGTCTCCTGGAAGAGAGCTCCCTCTAGTGTCTCTGTTTGAATTAGTAAGTCTTTTTCATCATGATGAGCTTTCAAAAGAACATTGATTTGTTCTGATGTAGTACTCGAATCCCCAAGACTAGTATCAAAAATTTCTACAGAATACCAGACAGCAGGGAAGACACTGATTAAGCCACTCCATGGGTTATTACCACAATATGCTAGTAAAATTTATGCAATTTAGGAAAATAGTTTTTATACACATACCCCTAAAAAATGTTCCAAAGATTGCCATTTGGTATATGGAATATAACTTTGCTTGGATATCATAGGTTTTTCCATAAACATATTTTGCACAACTCCATAGAAGAGTTATTAGTAATGTCTATTCATTAAGCCATATCCAAATCTATCCCTCAAGAGTGATCTGTTAATTTTCTTAAATGAAATCTGAATTCCATTCACATTTATATATCCTATTTGAAGGAGATCACACAATGGTAGACAGCAGAAATTTACCTTTTATTCTAACTAGGTAGATGTCTTAGTGACATTGTTTTGATTATTCTCACAAAGAGTGTAAAAACTCTACTATTTGGTATTCCGCACTTAGATAATCCATTCACAGTAGTTATCAGAAAAATGATCAGAATAGTAAATATAGTCTATGAACCAAGAACTGAGTGGTTACTATGGGCACTAAACTACCTACAGTGAACTAACCTAATACAGTCGAATTATTAAGCAGTACTGTCATTTTGTTATACAGATGGAATCTTTTTAGGTGGAGCTTCTACATCACCTATTTCCCTTCTCTAGAGAAAACAGACCCAAAGTGTTTTCTTAATATTAGTTAAGATCTGTAAGGAATACCTAAGAGTATCTCCAAGCTTGGAGGCTCTGGTATGGGGATCACATGATTATATCTCTCCTTAAAACTTTTTTTTTTGAAGAATTTCTTTTTTACAATACTTTTGTTTATTTATTTTTGTATGTGGTGCTGAGGATTGAACCCAGTGCCTCACACATGCAGGGCGAGAGCTCTACCACAGAGCTACAGCCACAGCCCTTCCATAGAACTTTAATTAAAGTACCTTTCCATCCATCTTTTATAATTCCCCTCAACCCCATTTATTAATCTATTTTGATACATACCCTTTTCTCTAAAATTAGGCTTTCTGGTTCTGTAGATGTATTATGAACCCATAGGGCTGATAAAAATAGCAGACTTGGTAACACTTTTTGGCAGAAATTACAGGGTTGATAGGACACTTGTTTTTGTGTTTAGAGAGGTCTTAATTTGCCTAAATGGGATTAAGTTATGTATACCCCTAAGAACCTTTAGGAATATGTACTGTCAATCCTTTTGCATGTTCATAAAGGTGATGATTGGGTTTTTGGGTTTTACACTATTGTGTTAGATTGCCTCCCTCAAACCTTGTTATAGTGTTGGTACACTGCCTGTTTGATGTGGGGTGGGGGAAGAAAAAAAGAAATTATATACTATCAAATTTAATGGTATTGATATTATATTTAGTGTTAAGATAATATTTTCCACTATTTGGTACATGCACCTTTGAACTCAGATATAGGTCCAGTAAATCAGGCAAAACAAAAATTTTGCAAAGTTGTGAGACATAAAATTATGTTCTTTCATCCTTCCCTATATTCCCCATATTCCTACCTCCCAATCCCAGAAATCTTACCAGTAGAGTCCTGTTATTACTCTCTTTCATAGTTAATATTAGTAGAAAATCATTTAACTGATTAAGCTCACCCTTAAACTTGTATGATTTTTCTAGTGATCAATTTATTTACTTTGCTAACAAATATATCTTTCAAGAAGGTCTTCCAGTGACAATAAAGTGGACTTAAAGCTTTTTCTGTCATCTCTCTCTTTCTCTGTTTTAGCAACAAGACTACTACAAGCAGTCCAAAGATAAAAGTCTTCCCCTGTGGTAAATATGATAATTTTTTACTAAGTTTTTGCCACAAAGTCTGTAAGTGATGTGTTTATGAGGAGATGATATGAGTTCTTCCTTCTTGCTTTCCAACATGTGTACTCTAATTACTAGAAAAAATGGATTGCAGACCTGTTTTCTTGTCTCTTTGTTTCAAATATTATTAGATTTTGTAAAAAATATTATATCATCTGTTCTTAAGAATCAAGATTTTCATTGTGGAAGAAAAATAAAGAACAGAAGGGATAAAGAATATTTATTTCATCATTCAATGATACAAATAAACCTCATAAACATAATATTGAGCCAAAGAAGCCAGACATAATAGAGAATACACAGTATAATTCATTAGTATGAAATTCAAAAACAGGGTTAGAGATATTGCTCAGTTGTAGAACATTTGCAAATAGTTCAATTCCTCATACTACAAAACCAAAATTTTTTTTTCTAAAATTAAAAAACAGGAAAAATCATGTATCAAGTATTGAGAAACTTGTTAACTTTGGGAAGGCAAATACTAACCAGGAAAATGTTAGCAATGCTAATGTCTGCAGTCTTTACCTTTATTTGATGCTGTTTGAAATGTGAATTTATTTATAAAGTCTTCCACAGCTTGAGACCTCTTTATTTCAGAGATCATCAAAGTAAACATTTACATGAGTAGGCTTTGGGAATCCTGAGGCTTCAGGGCATTTTCTATAATAAGTTCATAAAACAAATGCACTGGGATCAACCCTATAGTTTCTCAAAAATCAACATATTTATAAAAATTCAAAATAATAAATTAACATGTTCATATACAACATCCACATTTGAATCAGATTAGCACCTGCCTGCTATGTCTATGCTAAATAATCAAATAACATTCCCTCAAACATGATTTTCTCACCATCCCCAACAAAAACCCACTACCATGTTTATTTCTGATAACACAAAATACATCATTCTAATTTTAGTATTATTCAAAATATGTTAAAAATGTAAGAGGAATATCATGTGTTGTACCAAATACATATTTTTAGAATCTTTTGAAAACAAAAAATCCCAAGGATCCCTGTATTTCCTGTTTCCTATAAATCTGAGTTCCAAATCCTATAACAACTTAAAAAAAAAAAAAGAAACATAATACAATATCAGTTTTAGAATTCATTATACATTCAAAAAAAGAAGCTCACTTTTAATTACTTTGGCAAATGTTCAAAATCCTATATTAAAACTTTCTATTCTTTATAACAAATGTGTGTTTATTTTTTTAACTTGTGACTATAAATTTTTATATTCTAAATCATTTTTAGTTTTTCATTGTAACTGTTTATTAGTGAACTAAGATTATCTATGTGTTAACAGTCTTCTTTTAGAGTCTAGTTACGTACCCAAAGCTGCTACTTTGATGATCACTGCTTGAATGTTAGATGCTATCATCTCTCGGAGCAAATCTTCCTGGTTCCTTTGCCAAAGGTAAGCTAACAGTTGGAGATTAAGCCTTTTACACCTAAAAGTAAAAAGAAAAAAAAAAAAGATGATCTCTTAATGTTCCATATTTAGATCTAGAGCAATTACTTTGATTTTATACATAATACTTCTTTCAAGGATTTCATCATTTAAAATGCTTTAAAAAACATGTCTTGCCTAATGAAACTTATACACACACACACACACACACACACACACACACACACACACATATATGTAAATATTACACAAATATATTTAATTCCCTTGGGTTAAACATAAACATATAAAATGAAATCTCCAAGCAGACTAGATATATTAATGTTAGTAAGGTTATAAGTTTAGAAATCTATGTGAAAAAGCCTACAAATGTCAATGGATGATTATCTCATTAAAAGAAAAAAAAAACTTCAATGGGTACCAAAATTGTGAAGTGTATGCAATTGGGAAAATAAATTTATTCTTATAACCATATATTTAGTAAATTTACAATGCCTATGAACTAATTTTATCTGCTTAGAAATACTTTTTAAGAATTTTAGTGAAAAGAAAATAACAAAAAGTAAAATTGATTGAGTGCATGATAAACTGTAGGCATTGTACTAGATATTTTATACTATTGATATAGTAGAAAATATATGGATTTTGAAGTCAAAACATATCTGGGTTTGAAATTTCATCTGTATTCTATCCAGATGGTTTTAGCAAGTTAAGTAAATTCTTAAGATCTTGTGTTCATTTCCCTAGCTCATAAATAAGGGCAAAAATATTTCCATTCAAATTTCTTGATAAGATTAAAAGATGGAAAGTGAAGTCATGCTTTATTCTTGTTCCACATTCCTCACATTCCATACTCAATTTTCACCATGCTTAATGTGATTATTCCTCATCAATGCCACTACTAATACCCTGGTCTGAGTCACCATTATCTTTTTTTTGGTGGTGCAGGTGGGGTGGAGTTTGTTACTAAGGGTTGAACTCAGGGGCACTCAACCACTGAGCCACATCCCCAGCCCTTTTTTTGTTTTTGTTTTTGTATTTTATTTAGAGATAGGTCTCACTGGGTTGCTTAGTGCCTCAATGTTGCTGAGGTTGGCTTTGAACTCCTGATCTTCCTGGCTCAGCTTCCTGAGCCACTGCTGAGTTACCATTATCTCTTATGTCAATATCTTAATTCCTTTTCCTGCTTCCACCCCTTCTCTTTTAAAATTCATTTTCAATATCACAGCCAGTGTGATTCTTTTAAAATACAGATGATGGGATTCCTTGTAATACCTGTATCACCATTTTATACTTGTCTTTGTAGAGACCTTTTACCTCTTTAAATTTATTCTTGTGTATTTTTTTTGTCAGCTATTTTAATTAAGATTGCATTCTTGATCTCTACTTCAGATAACTGGCTACTGATGTACAGCAATGATGCAGATTTTGTCTGGGCATAAATACCAAGGAAATAAGAGTATACTGAAGAGACATATGCACTCCTGCGTTTACTGAAGCACTATTCACAATAAAGAAATAGAAATAACCTAAGCATCCATCACCTGTTTAATAAATGTGGAAAAAATACATATAAATAATGGAGTAATATTCAGCCATAAAAAGAATGTAATCCTATCATTTGTGACAACATGGATAGAGCTGGAGATCACCATGTTAAGTGAAATAAGCTAGGACAGCAAGACATGTACTATAGAATCTCATGTACACGTGGAATCTAAAAAGTTAACTTCATAGAAATTGAGAGAAGGGAGGTTACCAGAGTTTCAGCTGAGAGGAAAGCAGGAGAGAAAGATGAGGAAAGGTTGATTAATAGGTATCATGTTACAGTTACACAGGAAAAAGAAGTTTTGGTTTGCTAGCATATATCCGGGTAATTATAAATGACAATAATGCACTCTATATTTCAAAAGGCTAGAAGAAAGGATTTTGAAAGTTTTCATCATAAAGAAGTGACAAAGAAATGAAGAATTTCATCATGAAGAAATGATAGACATGTTTCATCTGATTTAAACATCATATGATGCACACATGTCAAAACATTACATAGTTACCTCTTTAATATTTATCATTTTTATGTATCAGTTGAAAATTTAAAAATCCTTGCAATGAATCCACATGGATATCACCCTGGTTAGTTCCTGTTCCTTACTTAATTCATGACTTTGATTAAATGTCACTCTCTTAGGAAGGATTATAATTGATTAATAATAACTTAAAGGTAATGTGGATAAAGAATGTAACAATGCATAGATAAAACAGGCATTCATGAAATGGTAGTCAAGCCAAGTGACTTGTCCAAGTCACATAATAAGTAGCTGAGATCAATTTCCAACCAAGAATATCAGTCTAAAGGCCATTATTTCTAGGTGTCTGTAAGGTTTATTACTCTCAAAACAATCATCCCTAGAATATATATGGTTGTTTAGCTGACTATTCTGGCCTACACAGATATCTTCTCCTCACCACCTCAGAATCTCACAGTACCTACTCAGTGTACCAAATGTTTTGTCATTTACTCACAAATGGTATTAAAAATATCACTATCTTTTCAAATACATACATCTAGAATTTCAAAGAAATCAAAACCTTCTTCAATACAGAGATATTTATGTAATTTTTGTATTTGTAAAATGTCTCAAAGCACCTATGCTGAGGTAGTTAATTTTTAAAAAAGCAATAAAATTTGAAATACCCATGTGACACAAGCACTTTGGTTCTTGATTTCTTGTCACTGATGTTTAATGCCTACTAATCAACTAGACTCTCTACATTTTCTTAATAAGATTTTGGTTTTATGGAAGACCTTATTCCTTCCAGTCCTCATTGCGAAATTCTTGGTTGTTGCTCTGGAATTCACAGCATTTAAAAATTATTTTAGGAGCTGGGGATGTGGCTCAAGCGGTAGCGCACTCGCCTGGAATGCGTGCGGCCTGGGTTCGATCCTCAGCACCACATACAAAACAAAGATGTTGTGTCCGCCGAAAACTAAAAAAAAAATAAATATTTAAAAATTCTCTCTCTCTCTCTCTTTAAAAAAAATTATTTTAGACATAAATCAATCTTATCCTATTTAAATTTTAACAGTTGAAAATATCATGACTCAAACAAACTTCCTATGTAAATCACTGTTGCATTTGAGCTTGTGAAATCTATTAAACACTTAAATATAAATAAATAAGTAAACTGATGCACTATTCCAATGTGGACGGCTAGAGGGAGGCTACATTCTATGTCACTCTGTGACCTGGGATTCAACTAGTGGGAATACTGTTTCTCTGCTAGTAATTAGAGGACCCCCAACAGCTGCTCCCATGCAGGAATCCCAGTCTCTTTCTCCATACAGGTCCCCCAGCCTCAGTTTTAACACCTCATCACTGAAAGCAGCCACCTCCATCTTGTGACACCTTTGTCTCTGTATTTAGTTGGGGCAACTCCCACTTTGGGACACTGGCTGTGGTTTAAAGGAAAATCAAGGTACCTAAATTCCCCAACTCCCCCCTCTCCCCAGCAACCAGTAAGCCAGCATAGTGCTTGGGGCTACATAGCCAGTCCATAGATCGCAAAGCCTGGCAGGGAACTGCCTAATACAAAACAGTTCTCAGCAAAAGATATGTACCCCCAGAGTGCAGCCCATAAAAACTCCAGAGAAAAAGATTCCTGATTAGGAAGTAGAAAAGGAGGTGATGAGTGAAACACAGTTTAGAGGCTAAATTAGAGACAGGAATTGTGAGGTCTACAGGCGATATAAGTAGATAAAACCAGGGTCAACATCACATGAGTGGGGCTCAAAGGAGATCCCTGGGGTTCAGTCTCACATCAGGAACTGGCAAGTGCTATACCCCATCTCCAAGAGGCCCACCCCCAAGACCAACTCTCCCATCCTAATAACCCTTTCACCATTCTGAGGGTGGAAATACCAGCAAACAACAGACAACCCCTCCTACTGGAAGAGAATGGAAGCAGGAAAGATACTGATCTCCAACAAAAACAATCCTTATATCTTCCTTTGAGATTTTTTTTTATCTTTTGTCTCTCTCTTCTCCTGCCCTCACATCCCCATCAACATTGTGAAACTAAGTACTTTTCATGAATTAGGCTACTGAGGACCAGGATGTCTGAATAGTATCTTACAGTTATGTTGTATATTCTTTTATCTTCTATTTTTAGACTTTTTATTTTTCTTAAATATTATGTTTATTTGTTTTCTGTACTCTCTCTATTGTCTTCCCACTTACATGTCTCTCCCAAATCACATACTCTTTTCTCCTGCAATTAACCAACTTCTTTAGATTCCTCTTTTCATGATTCCTAAGACCTAATAACTATATTCTCACCTCCAACCCCTCAACATTCCATCTTACACCTCACCCCTAGTTCTTTGTCCACCATCAGAAAAGGTAGACTCTTTTGCAAATCTACTATTTATATTGTAGATAATAATTGAATTCTCCTTTTATGTATATTGTGACAAAACCATAAACATCTTAATAGCAGCTATTTGGTTTAAGGCTGTATATTGTTTGTATTGGGATCTGTTAATATTATTCTCCCTCTCAAAGGAGAGGTATTGGAACATTGCGGGGACAGTATAAGTCTTCAGGGTAAAACACTGTAACATCTCAGATCTGCAGTGCTGGAAGGGAAGACACATGAACAACATGAAAAAACAAGGGAAGAAAGTGCATCTCCCCACTCCCAAACCAAGAGACTATATTATTAGAATCCATGGCCAACACAATAGAAGAAATTTCAGTGAAGGAGTTCAGGATATACATAATTAAAATGTTCTGTGAATTAAAGGATGATATAAGAGAACAAATATGGGCAGCAAAAGATCATTTCAATAAAGAGCTATGTAAGCAAATATAGGAAGCAAAAGATTAATTCAATAAGGAGAAAGAGGTTCTGAAAAAAAAAAGATATCCTTGAAATGGAAAAAAAAAAAAAAACAACAGAAAGCACCACTAATAGATTAGATCACTTGGAAGACAGAATCGCCAACAATGAAATCAAATATATAATCTTGAAAAGAAAGTT